CCCCCGCCGTTCCATCCGACTCTCCCCCACAAGGAAGTTTTCCAGTGTAGTGCCTTTGCTTTACGGTGTCGAAACTCGTTAGTTTCGCGTTGAGAATACCCATCTACCCTCGTTATACTTCAATCGACATATTCGAACCATTGTTCACTTCTCAGCATCAACAAACAAGAATCAGTGGCGCGTTTGCTATATGGTGCACCACTTTTAACTTCGTGCCCCGTGAAAAACGTTAAGCTAACGCACACAGAAATATTAAATGTGTACGGCGAAAAAGACTCTTATTCTTGTTATCTTAATCTATTTTAATTTTGTGATTTCCATTTCACTCTGGTTTGTATTTGGTTAATGGTTGTAAAACTACTGAAGCAATAACCATCTACCTTCATTCACTTTACTGGGAAAGATCGGATAAGACAATGAGTTGGTCAAACTACAACTTTATGTGGGTACGACCAAGTTAGTTTTGGGATTGATTTGGCTGGGTGCCTCCTGTTTCCCCCGTTAGGGCTCAAGAAATAGGGGTTGATGGTATTGAGATATTGGGAATTATACTATAAATATCGTACGACCTTCTTGCTAATTTCTCCTGCTCCATATAACAGCAAAATGCAAAAAACTAACTGCACAGAAAAAAACTTATTCCAACTCTTTTCTGTTTTACTGTTGCTCTTTCTATTTTTCGACCATGTTTTGTTAGCGCTTTGCTTGTTCTTCGGCTGATCAAATCTCCACATTTAAGTAATAATAAACTGGCAGTAATGAAACTTGCATTTCGACTTCGGCCTTTCACAGAAGTTTGGGGATTTGTAAATACTGACGCAGTTGTGTATTGTTGTCACAATACCATTGAGTTCATACTAGGTCTATCTTTAAATACCGAAGTCAGTTTGTCCAGAAGCTATTTTTAGTAGTGGGTAGTCACTTTTCAGACTGTCCATTTCGAAGGAAGACGCTCTAATTGTTCTGGTAACGTCGATCAAACGTCTTCCAACCGATCAGGTCGTCCATGGAACTTTGGATCGATGTCGTGTGTTTGGCTTGAGTTCAAATTGCCGGTTTGACTGACCTCCATCATTGAGGTTCATACTCATTGACGATATCCTGTTCATTCAATCGTAAGCAAGATGACACAATCACTCACAAGTAGATGAAGTAGATACTGGTTCATGTAAGATTTTCCCGTTTTGTTTCAAAACTTTCTCGTGTGCAGCCTACCCCGATTGTGCCATATTTTGTGGTAATCTGTGCATAGGTTTTCTATTCCAACCATCTTTTGTCGCCCGTTCGCGCATTGTCCCTCACGAGCAACGCAACTGATCGAGCTAAACTCTTTTGATTCTACATTTGGAGTACACACTAATTTGTTAGGACATCGTAACACATCTTTCGCCTGCTTTTGGTTTATCTTCAGACTACCCTGTGTGCCAAGGCGAACTTGAATGGAGAGGACTATCTGTTCACCGCCTTTCAAGAAATGAACAAAGTAAGTAGATTGGCTTTGCCGCTTACTGTGGTATATGTTTTCTGTTCATCTTTCAAGATGTGCTAGACTATTTACTCAATTTCTTTGCATCCCTGTGATAGTGCAAGTGTGTTTGTGTAGGGGTATCTGCCGTTGAAACATAATCGGGCGCGCACACCAAGACAGTCTACTTTGGCGATTATCAACTTAACTTCAACTCAAGTTGAATTCAGTTTCAATTTGTACAACCGTTAACCACGCACCATTGTGCACTGGTTTCGGTTGTTGTCTTTTGGCTGCCCATTTGGATGGGCAGTAGGAAAAGACAGAAAAGTTGAACGTAGAGTCGGAGAGAAAGTAGGGAATTTCATTGACTACAGGGAATGAGTTATGGTTGATGTGACGGTGTTTTTTCTCTCGGTTCGTCAGGATTCGAAGACCACAAGTAAAAAAGAAACAGAGTAACAGTGTTTTTTAGGCAATGTTCTGTTGCTGAAATCAGTAACGGACAGATTTGACCATGACGATACGTTTGCAAGGAACAATTTTGAGAATGTTTTCATATGCGAGCACTGGTTTTCAGTTGAATACTTCCCGTGTCTAGAATACGCATTAGGTTTTCCTGCTTATACGACTGAATGCCTCACTGGCAGGTTTACCTTTGCCGCGGAGTGAAAGAAAAAAGTAACGCCTTTAAGATGCTTCGACGGAAAATTTGTTGCGTGAATGACGATGTCGAAACTGGTGAAGATCATGATTGGTCAGTATCAAGAAATTTAGCTCACGTTCGACGTTTCTTTTGTGGATTATATAGGGTGCATCTTTCAGTTCGTCACTATTGTAGTAGATGCCACCCTTCAGTTATCAAGGTTTATTTTCAGGGGACCAGTATTGACAAAGGTCTTTGGAAAATAATTATTACAATACTTTTCCCAGAGCTGTCAGAACGATTTATTTGTGCGTTGTGGTTTAGTCTTCGCCAAATGGCCGGAGTCCAATACTTAACAATATTTGCAAAAGATCAACAGATGACGTGGAAACGAGGCATGAAGAAAGACACAGTGATTTAGTGGAGTAGGTGTCTCGCGCTTCCCGGGTTTGAGCTCGAAAGATTCTGTGGCTGGTTGTTTGGAGATATGGCAGCTTACCGACAGCAGTGGCGTTCTTGTTGTCATTGGCTATCAGGCGAGAAGTTTTGAAGCGGTATGTATGCACAGTCAGATCGTTTACTCTGTGTTTTGACCGTAGAGGTTCACTTCTTTGCCTCCCTCCAGTTGGGTTCAAACTCTATCCATCTTTTACTTTCTCAATCACTTTGTGTTCATGGACAGCTTGGCAGCGATCAGCGAATTTCCCTTTTCTGGATTTTGCTGCACGATGCTGATGAACAATGGGGGAACTTCTTTTAAATTGGCTACTGATAAGTAGTCAGCAGCTGAATGCGGTTATCTAAAGGTAGCGCTATCTTTTACTCCACAACGAAATTCACCGTATAATCGTAAAAATTCACCGATATTCCCATGCAAATCTTGGTGAGGTCGGAAAACGCATCTTTCGGCGTTTGGGTTGTTAAATGATNACTCCTGCATTCGGGTGATAAATACGAACGAATCGTAAACTGATTTCTTGTTATGAAGATTTGTGAGACAGTTTTCCCTCAGGTGTAAATTATATGTTATCCCATTTCAATTCTGCCATTTTGAACGACGGCAGAGCCAACTACTACTGTTGAGGCTATTGATTTTTAAAATAAGTAGCCTATCGTGGAAAGTGGTTATGATTCCGGTGCATGCCAATCGACAGTTGCATGGCAATTTACGGTTTTCGCTCGTTCAGTCCTTAAATGCCGTTTTTATTTAATGTATACTTTTGGAAAGCCTTGTGAGCAATGACAGAACCAAGTTGTATCTTTTCAAACCACAAAGATTGAAAAGTGTATAGCCATAGGAGTGATATTTAACCATGACTGTGATATTATCACCCTCACACTAGGTGTTTTTGCAGATCTCAACCCAGAAATTAAGACTACAACTTAGTTTTACAGCTTGGGGAGTTGCTCATGTCTTGGACTGTCCACTTTTATCTTTCGTCTAGCTGTGCATGAGATTTGTCCCAAGCAATCTGATCAATGAAGGTGGGGTATGTGGTTCGACTGTCAGATTTGGTGTTTTCCTTCTTCACGCTTGTTATTTTAAGTTCACAACAGGAGCACAACAACTGTGCATTCTCCTATCGCTCACCATTGTATCTTTCCAAAATGTATTCGTTAACTACCTTTATTTCCCCTTAACTGCCACTTTAGCCATGGGAAAATTTTGCTGTGGCCATCTATCATTTGGATTCCGGTGAACCAGTTTCTAGCTTGACTCCTGGCCCCTGGACTATCGCGACGCATCATGGTGCAGTAGAATGGGTGAGTTGAAATGTTTCATTAGATTATTTCATTGTCTGCTTTAATGTATTCATTTTAAAATCGATGGCTTTTAAGGCCTCTTTGTCTGATAACATTTCACCGTTCACACAGAGATGCACATTGCACGGTGTACTTGCCTGTCTACTTCTGTGATTCGATGAGCTATACAGAACGGCCTTTCCTGGCTGAATCGAGAGTCAGTCAATTAAGAGAAACGAATTCAGTTCAGCCATTGACCAGTCTCACAAGACCAGTTGTCATGCGGTAATCCAGTCATTATTTAGCCATCCTAATTTGATCATGGTTACTCCAGGATACCATTTGTGTCTTCAGTGTCAAACTCTATGGAAGCAATGTATGTATCTCGGCGGAAGTTGGCTGCTGGAAAAGGAAATAGGACGAATCTGTGAGCTGCTTATTGAGTAGGTCACCTGGTGAACGGAGTGCATGTGGCAGCTCGACGGTCCTTCCTCCCCATCAAGAAGAAATTTCCAAGCCTGTTTGAAAAACGTTTATTTTAATAACTTGTCTATAGTTGCATTTTGATCAGTGGATACCCGATAGAATTCAACAAAAGTCTGATAAATTGTTGAAGCAATTTATTCCAAATAGATTGACGGATTGAATATGTTCCTAGGCTGTACTCATTGACCGACTGCTATCCGCTATGCGTTGTGTACTATCCATTTCCTGAGCAGGCCAGAATAGTTGTTTTCGTGATCCCATGGCTCTAGGGCCGTCTGCTACTGGCTGTTCTGATTGGAATCGATAACGGGTGCGACGTGTGATCCAGATTAACATGTACCCCTTTGAAGTTACGACAAAGGCCATCACACAACCCAGAAGAAGAACCAGACTGATCATGTTAAACACTAAACGTCCGGTACTAACCATATTCAACTCGCCTGGTCCTTCGATAGTCTGAAACTCTTGTTCCTCGACACCTTTTGTCCAGTCGAATGTTTGTTCCTTACTTTGTGCTGGCAGCTCAACCATCACATACGGCTCACCCTTCGCCGATAAGCCCCCAGACTGAGCCACGAAAATGCCATCGGTTGTCACGTTCGGTCCACATGATCCTCGACTCCAACTTCCTTTACGTGGTGTACTTTGTCGCTGAATCGCGAGAGTAAAGGTATAGAAAGCAGAAACAGTTTGACTAAACACGACTTTGAAATTACAGTTAAATGGAAACCACAGTGGAAACTGAATCTAACTACACTTCAGTTTATCTGACCGTCTCCGAGGACTGGTCTACCTATAAATGTTCATTGGTGTTAACAGAAGGAACAGGGTCCGCTTCTGTCATTCATGTTAATTGTCTTCAGATATTAAAGATGATATATATATATATATATACATGCTGTATATTTAATATCTCTCCTTTAATCTCAAAACTTGAAATCGCACCAGTACGCATAGAACATTTTGAGAATCAGTTCATTAGCGCTAATTTAAACCATTAAAGTAAGGACTGTCATCTGGGTTTCCCTACTTCATCTTCCTCAAGCTTGTACTTGCCGACCGTGGTACTGTAACTGTCATGAATACAACTACCGTAAATTAAATTGCGTTCCATTTAAACTTACCACTTCACATCGTTTACAGTCCTCCTGTCCCGGCTGATCTTGATACATTCCCCGGGGACACAAATCACACACATAGACAGGAAAACTGGTGTTCGGTGTGAGTACTTGTGATCGTGTACCCGCTGGGCATTTGACACATACAGCTGGTGTACCGTAAGGCATGTACTGCCCAGGTGGACAGTGCGCATTCGCTTCCAGCACTGTAACCTGAATGCGGTATTCACACGAGAGGGGTTTCATTAATGCATAATTGAATATACCCAGGGTTGCAAGCAAATCTTCAATGAAAGTGTATCGATTGTTGTATATGCTTCTTCTGTCCGACCTAAAGAGATAGCTTTCATTGAATGAAAAAACATCTTGATTGAAGTCTACATTTCTGGAGAAATCTAGTCATTTTTCATCTTGATACCTCTCTTTAGTATTTCGAAGGTTTGTTGCCTTTGTGCATGAATCAGCACTTAAGGGGTTGTAGTTTCTATCTTCACGTAGTCCCCGTTGAAACATGCGTTCGACAAATTGTCATTTTGATAAAAACAAATTTCGCCAACCTACCGAAATGTTAATTGAATTGGCCAGCTTTCTTGTGAGTTCAATCAAACGGCGTTGCAAATTCTTTGGTGTCGGTAGCATGGCTGAACGAGTCTCAAAGCTCTGGACGACATTGACCGTGTCAATACTGATCGCTTTCGAATTAGATTGGCGTGGGTATTGGATTTGATTCCAGTCGTTAATTGCCGATTCGACAGTTGGCCATTGTGTGGCATACCCGGGGTACACGCCACGTCGATCAATGAATACGTTCACGTAACAACCCTCGCATCGAGGTACCTTGGGATCGGTGAACATCTGCCAATATTATGGGTTCCAAAGAATGAAAACAAGGCGGGAGGATAAGAGGAAAGGAGAGATAGTTGGTTAGTAGTGTTTGTGATTTGATTGCAAGTCATCGGTAACCCACACAGTGATAGCAGTTTTTTCTACCGAAATACTTGCAGCCCGAAGTGAATCACAATAATTGCGTACCATTCGGAATGGCCAATCTAGTGGAGAATTTTAGCTGGTGCGATAATCTTATCTGTTAGAGTGAATGAAAGCTGCGTTTAACTTATCGATGTTTGCATAAAGGAATTTGATCCCTCCCACAGATTTATTTTTTATTGGTTGACCAGAAAATATGGCATCAAGACTTCTAACTTCTGCTTGGGAGTGATATTTTACTGTCATTATCGTCGGTCTTGAAGCTTTCGTAGCGACTTCAGATAACTGGAGACGAACCTTCCGGTTTCAAAGAAAAATCCTTTCCATGTGACAAAAAATGTCGAAACTGGTATTCAGGTTTCTGGTTAATAGAAAAATACAACTGAAGAATAATAAATAAATTTACCAAAACCGTGAACCTACAGTAATAAGTAGTCCATGGAGCAGAGGTGTTTTTGGTGAAAAAATTACGTGGATGAAAAGTTACTTTTTCGACTTCACTTTAATAAATATCTTCGGAAATGTACATGTTTGTATTTATCGTTCCTGTGTAACTAGAAAATCTGGACTTACATTGAACACTTAGGCAGTCAACACCATTGGATGAATAGGCAAAAGTCAAACCAGACTTGCCGCATGCATGTTGTGTTTCCGCCTCCATTCTTCTTGAAAAATGGCCTTTTTCCGACAGCCTTCTGAATGCTCCAGCGAATCGTGCAAGTCTTCATTAAACCAGGGCTCTTAGATAAAAACCACACACGTGTTGATCTGAATGCGTGTGCCTAAAATGTGCTTTTGGTTCGATAGGTTTGATAACCGAATATAGATAACAATCAGAGAATGCGTAGCTAACTGTGAACAGTGATGGATTCCGATTTAAATCGTTTGTGTAATGAGCCAAACCGGTCATCCTGTGACGCAGATCTACTACTGAAATTCAAAACGATCCTGCCTCGGTGTAAATGCGTAACAAAAGATTGATTGAAAACAGCGATTATTTGAATATTTTTCCCTAAGTAATTTCGCTTATAGTGCTGCAGGATTGCAAGTACGCATAAAAGTTAAGAACTTTTTTCGTTTAATCCTACCGCACCTGCATAGCTACATTCAAAGAGAGATAGAAGGAGAGAATTGTGCAATGAGAAGTGGTGTAATATAGTATATGAAATAGTGAATCAGGTCGCTGGGATTTAAAATAAAATCGATTGCTAGTACTTATGCCTTCATTGTTTAATCATACACCGTACACCACACTTGGATCCACATGCAAAACAAACGACTCACCTCTAATCCCAACCACATGGGATGTTTATTCAGTGTCGCATTAACCAGAGTTCGCCGTGTATCATTTGCCACAACTTGCAATCGTCTCGTTTCCATGTCGTACACAAAATCCACTGTACTCCGTTCCGGTCCACAATATCCCGGGACCGATTCGGCCACCCGATCTTGTCCTTCTAGTTCAATGTGAAGCACTTCCCCTGTGGTAGAATGATATCGGACCCATCTATTTTCCCAACGCGCTATATACTGCACATCCTCGTTCCGTCCCATGACAAACCCGATGCGCATTACTTCGCCATCCGCTCCGATTGTACGCATTGGACAGAAATACTCGCTTCCACGTGTCTGTGCTTTCCGCGGAAAGCTAATCATTTGCACATGACCAGTGAGCACACCGGTTGCATTGGCTAATTCATCACCAAAATCGTCATAGAGCAGTTGAATGGAGTAGCTGGTCAGTGGACTCCGCGGGGAACCAGTCTTCTTATAAACTCTATGGTCTGTTTTGTCTAGTTCGATACAACGCCAGGGCTCTTCCAAATTCACATGAAATGACGAAGTGTAGTACCCGTGCACTTTGGACAGACACGCGCGTCCGTGTTTAGGGGTTGCTCCGGGTAATGGACGTTCTGTATGTAATGCTCGCAAAACTTCGTTTACGTCTTCCGGATGCTTCGGTCGTTCGTACATGATCTGATAAATGGTCACCTCTTCATTCTTTTGCCCAATAAATGGATTAAATGTTTATATAAAGAAAGGAAAACAATATTCATTAATAAGACACCTAAATATGCAAATTCAACATGCAAATCAGCTCGACTCCGAATCCCTGACACAAAAATGCATTGGGCGGTAAACAGAACAGTTAAAGCTTCAGTTTATTTCGGTTGTTGCGCAGAGGCGTGAATGAAGGGAGTGGTACATAACCGATGACCAGATGCATCTTTGCGAATTAATTGTAATAAATACGAGAATATATAGGAAAATAATTTGGTCCATTTCTTTTGATACTATCGTTCAATGATGCTTTATTTCTAAGATAAAGAAGTGATTGCTTTAAGCTTACTGTAGAGTTTTAGACCTGGTCATAATAACATCTGTTGGTATTCCCTGAATACTCAATGCATATGGACAACAAACCTCCATGGAGTGCACTGCCTACCGTTCTGGTTTTTTATCATCACCTATAGTTGTTCGAACATCACCACACACCACAAGCTTAATCGTGTTCACAAAAAGCCTTCCACCGGTTTCTTTTCAGCCTTTTCTCAAGTGACAATTGAAATAACCCTTTTCTCGCCTACTGTGTCGTGAAATCGATCTCGTCCCTGAAAATGGATTTGCCAACTAGGGGCATATGAATAACGATATCATCCGTGAACCACAGTGCGCTTTAGACCGCTAAACCATCGATGCATTCCTCTTTGACAAATTGTTTCCAGTAGAGATTACTTGTGGTTATCATCTTCAGTTTAAAGCAGGCGACCCCATTGCTATTCACTCAAGCGCAACACCCTTCTCCTAGTTCCCCGCTGAGGTTGAACTATCCTGAAAAACAATTACAACTGGTAATGTGATAGTGATTTAATGTCACACTTGTTTTGTCAACCGCGACCGCGGGTTTTGACCGAGTGACCTTTCGACAGCTCATCTCATCTCCATAATATCAGTGCACCTTGTTCGCGGTCGACTTTTCTTCACGGTCGATCGCAAGTTAAAGGCATCTGACCTTCAGAACAGTCATCCGAAACTCGTGGGGGAAGGGAGCGAGGTGGGCATTGCAACTTCACCTATCATTCATGTGACGGAGGTGTCCTCAAGCTTTACCTTGTTTGGTACTAAAGAGCTTATGAAATCAACTATCCTTTCGAATTGTTTTAGGTTGTTGGTGTATGTGGTCTGGCATCATCATACTGACGTGTTTTATCCTCTGTCTACTGATAAAAAGCATTCTGAGTTTTAGTCAAAAAGTGGACATTGCTTATGTTGTATCATATTGGTCTAGCTATGGTAAATATTGCGATCATTTATCATGTTACTCAGGAAACTTCATTCGTCATGCAGAGTTGCCGTTCAGTTTTTACAACCATTAACCATGCGGCGGTTTCGTTTGCTGTCCCTTGGTTTACCACTTCAATGAGTTGCAAAAATGTAGAAGTTGAGAGCTGGCTGCAGTACCGGGTATACATCTGTTTCATCCTTGTTTGGAACCATGAGCAGTGCACATCCGCTGAGAATCAAATCCGGCCACTTACCACTTATTACTTAATATTTAATAACTGTACTTCTATAAATTGCTCAATTCTCAGTAGCTTAGCGCATTTAGAGACCCGTTCTTAACATACGCACGGCTTTTTCCACCAGATTGTCTTGTAATGTTCAATTTTCCTTCTACAGTTGACAGTTCAATTCAGTTTTATGCCGAGGTTGCTTGGTAAATTACGTAATACAGTGGATACAGAAATACTCGACCAAGGTTATAATTAAGATGATGGGATATTTTTATGGCGGTATAGTGCCCGATTTATCCTTTCTCATTCTTATTACCAGGAAGATACTCAAAACGAAATTAATCAGACCCTTTCATTTCGTTTCCCGAAAGTTAGTCAAACTCACTACTGAAATGAAAAAAGAATCGTGAATACCAACTGATATACTGTTCAATCGTGAATTGAGATCTGAACATACTTCGCCTCCGATTGTTTCCAATCTGAGTGCTGTCACAAATTGTTCATTCTCCCAACGGTCTTTTACGTTAAATGGAACCATTAATCCTGTGCTTGTACGCAGTCGTCCGTAGTAGGGTTCGATTAGTAACCAGTCAAGTATCGGCCGTCCATTAGCCAATAACTGGTGAAATAGTGTTCGATTGATCTCGACCGCGGCAAATGGATAAGGCAAAATTTGCTCTTCCGGAAACGGTGGTTCTACATTACCGGGACCCCAAAATCCTTCGCTCACTCCCTCTTCCGACCGAGTCATCAGTATTACTCGTAGACCGGCTGCCGGTGGTAATCGTATATCCGTCAGACGAATTCGCACCCCGGCCCCGAATGGCTGTGGTAATGTAAGATCGAAACGTTCACGAAAGTCAATGTAATCCAACGGTTTTTCTTTCAAGGCCCATTCTCGTTCCTTATGCGGTTGCACACCCTGTGATGTAACTCGTGTTCGATCGATGTTATAGTATGCGTAAATCTCCAGCGGGCTGTCGTCTTCCGGCAACAGATGACATTTGGACTCAACCACTTGATAAGTCAATTTTCCATCCAGCATCGCTCTGTCCTCGCGCACACTGCGAAACATGCGCATACCGAACAGAGATTGAAAGACCCACTTGGTTTTCTCGCTTGTCCCTGTACAGTTTTCAAAGGATTCATATTTGGTTAATTTCAATGTGAGTCCTATATTGGCCGCTTCCAAGGAGAGGACCATGAATGTGACTAGCGGATTGTACAGTTCATTTCGTCCGTAATGTTTCCCGGTTGTTTTGGCCAATTTCCAATTCGTGTCGTATTCTGCAAACATGTAACCGCCACTCTCGCTTGTATTAAGCCAAAACGTTTCTTCATGCGGATCAACCATACGACGTACACCCTGTTCGATACAGCTAATTGACTTTGTCAGCCTGTAACCGTACTCTTGTCCGGGGGGCGTGTAAAGCCAAACTTTGTTCTGGATGGTCGGCCGATTAACTCGATAGAATAGGTTTGCACGTTCATATGGCCAAATGTGAATAAGTTGTGCCTTGGGTGGTACCATCTCTGTAAAACCATCACCAGAATCCACCAGACGAATGGTCTGTTTCATCGAGCTCAACTCAGACGCGCAGTTCTGGTCCTGCGAGACACCATTCAGTAGCCACAAGTTATATAGGTAAATCATTGCGAAGCTCCACTTTGACCATCTCCATCCGAACGGCATCATTACGATGTCCGAATGGGATTTTCTTTTTACTATGAGATCTCCCTCAGTCGATCTCGTTCTGCTGGCTGTCGGAATGCGTTTAAAACAATGAATCGATTTTTCGTTGTATGCATTGATTGGGGGGGGGAGGCATTCTGATGTGAGTCAGTTGTATTTCTGTGACAAGCGAAGAGCATTTATGGTCTGGAATCGGACCACGGAGTAAGCAAAAAGGCCAACACTCATTGGTCAAAGTTGACAGTCTTAGTTTGAACTTTTTACTACGTCTTCCCATGATATATCTCAATTAAACGCCTCTTCCTCGTCTTTGATCTTGGCTGTTTACCGAGGTTCCTTCTTCATATGTGACATTCATCACGATCCATTAAGTTTATTCAGTTTCGTTAGTGCGTCGTTCCACATTGACTTTCGGGTTTTCTCACCGAATCCCGGCAGTACGGCGTAGACAGCATTGTTCGAAAGCCGACAGTTCTCTTTTCTTTCCTGGACGTAGTTTAGCTTCCACTCAACTGTATTCCACTCTAAAACGAATACAGCCTTATTTGGTTCAGTGCTCTACGTCCAGGAACTTTTTGCTGGCTACTCTCCATTACCGAACAGCAGTACGTCCTCGTGGCTGAGATGCCCATTCCTTCTGCTGTTCATCATGTATCAGTGTATAATAAAGAAGTAAATCCTTGCATTATGCAACAAGCTCAGAGAATAAAACCTACTGTCTAAGTTCTGTTGAATCTGTCGTGTACCCCCTCGGTTGATCGAGAGTGACCCAAAGGCAGTAAATAAAACCGGCCCAGAGCAGTGCCAGCGAAAGTCGAACCTTGAGAATGCCAGTAGCGTAGATGTATGCCAATCAGCTGGAACCGAGAGTTGCTATACTCATATTTGTTAGATAAGAAATTTGGTTACGCATCGAATAAGTGATGATGCAAACTGTTTATCTGAGAAACAGTGATGTCACATACCAAACTGCCTCAGAACTCTATTTTGTAAACACAAGCATCCATCGTTCATCCCAAGTGTGTACCTCTATCACCCATTCGGCATTTGATCAGACTGGTTAAATTGTCTATGCCCTATATCGCCTAATTCTTCTTTAAAATGATATAAATGATTGTTAATAAATTATTAGCCTCTAAAGCTGTACGGTATTTTAACAACTCTTGAGTATATTTGTATATTGCGCACCATTGTGTGCTGAACGGTGGATGGGAGTGAGTCGCACAGCCCCGAGGACCTACTGTCTACTTATGCGAGACCAACAACCGTAGCTCTGAGATGCCGGTGTATCCCCAACGTGAAATAGATCCGGTCAAAAACGGAACTTCTTACCATGAATGAAACGAAGAACAGTAACTAAGCAGAATATCAGAGGATCGAATGCGATGTATCTCGGAATTCTTAAGTTACACCTGTAGATGGTTGATAGAACGAAACCCGTTTTCACGGGGACCCATTGTTCGATGCTGGAAAACAGACAGATTATCCGTCACTATGTAATTGCTCTGGTTTTGTGGGTATTGTTTCTTTTATTCGCCCTGAACGGATTCGATTGGTTTGATAACTATTGTCAACGGTGCTCAATCAAATCATAAAAGGTTATATGAAGTATCTTATAGGAGCAACACCTCTGAGCTGGTAGACTTGTCTCTTGGGGCATATTCCACCTCTTCCATCACTGAGCAGTAAGTCCTCGTGACTTTGGGGCTTTCTCCGTCTGCTGTTCATCACACGAAAGTGTGTGATAAAAAATTACACCAACTCAACTCTGCTGATTTCCATAAACTGAGATATGCATCACTGGTCGCACTTCGACAAAAGCGAGGCAGGTGGGTTGCACCAGGGTCCGGGCAACTAAGGCCTGCAAAACCTCCGCGGAACTGCGCAAGACCTATGACGGTGGCTATTACTTAGTGGCCACACGAGATCAACTGTCTGTTCCAGTGGTTATAGTGGAACTCTGTTCAATTAACAAGAATGAATCGCCGGTTTACGTCCACATCTAGCGAATGGTGAATGAGCTCCAAGTGGGTGACTGGCAGCCATGCAACAACATACACTGTGGCTAGAAGTGCTTTCTCGAAAAATTCCGCCCGATACTGGTCGCGGCCTTCAAGTGGCTTACATTTATATCATCGCCTTGGTTTAAGCCCAAGCATTTGAGGTCCGAACCCCGTCGCCGCTATCTTACTTCGGTGTTAGACAGCTTCGCTGTCATTTTGTTGAATGCCACGCCATGATAGTGAGGTCTTATGTGGTTCGCCTCTCCAAGTTCCAGCACTCAGGTTGCTGATACCCATGAGCGAGCAGCAGGTCCTCGTGACTTTGGGTTTCATCTCTTCTGCTACTTACCGCCTTGTGTAATAAAAGAAGCGTAAAACCAGATATGTGCAGTAATGCGGTTTCGAGTAAACCACCGAATTATTTACAGTCGTTAATTTCCCCCATCCTCTGCTACCGTTAGATGTTAATAGTAATCAATTAAACATGGATCAGTTCCTCACTGTACATTTTCCCAGTGTTGGCACATCCTAACAGCAAATATTGGGAAACGTTCAATATCTTTTGTTCTATTTGATTTAAATGAGAATGAACAGTTCAAAAACGCAATGCTCTCTGAATAAGTTTCCGATAGTCTATTGCTCATCAAACGTTTTGCCGTTCATTTGCGTATTGCCCAATTTCATTGCTGATACAGATTCGTCCAACTCTGTACGTGGACTCGACCGGTACAATCGCATTCAGAGTGCTCGTTCGAACGGAGGATCACGCGATTCAACATATTCGTCAGAATGGTATGTTCCACGACGCTTGGTGATTATCTTTTGAACAGGGATCAGGCTAATAACAATGATATATATATATATATATGTGTGTGTATGTGAAGGTCAAAAAGCAGTACTGTACAGCTTTTTTTATTACACACTTAAGGGTGATGAACAGCAGACGGGGCGAGCCCCCTAGTCACGAGGACCTGCTGTTCAGTGGTGGAAACCGGCAATCTAAACCCCAGAACTTGGAGTGGCGAACCACATAAGGCCCGGATAGGTTGGGCATGATATTGTACCAAACGACAGCAGAGCTGCCTACCTTGTTAGCATTCCTAAGCACTGCTTACTTCGTTGAGACCCAGGCGTGAATTTGCGAATTGGTGTAAAATTTAAAACAAACCGCGTTCAATACAAACATTAGTTTCTGTTTCGTAGATTTTTCGACCCCAGGTCATTTCTCTTAAGATCACGAAATGTGCATAATCTTCATTGGATATGATGACCCGTTTTTTGTGTATATTGTACAATAAATCACCAAAACCCACGCGATTTATGTCTCCACTACACTCACGTAAGATTTCTCATCAGTCCATTTTTCAGTTCGTGGCATATTCTGGCATGCCAATCTTGTCTTTCTTTGCGCTTGAGACATCCGTTGTGCCGTCGCGACATCCGTTCGTGTGTGAAGGGTTTAGTGTATGCTGCAGCAGTTTGGCCAGTTCTACTATATGAAGCAGAATCTAGGCCATTAAGAAAACAGGAGAAAGATAGACTGTCGATGTTCGAACTTCGCTGTCTACGCAGCATTCCACGAATCTGGTGGGGCAGCCGGACGAGCAATGCTGAGGTCAGGCGCAAAGTTTTAGGCAATCGCGGTCGCCCACNGAAGCAAGTGGTCGACCTCCATAGATTACGATGGTTGGGGCATGTGCTACGCATGCCACCAAATAGGTTGCCACGACTAGCGATGTTTGCCGAGGCAGGTAGTGGATGGAATAAGGCTCAGGGTGGTCAAGCTAAAGCCTGACGTGAAATCATAAATACCCTAACCAGGAGTCTGAGTCACATAGGTCCCGTTAGGCTCCTTGCCTGGGGACCTCGGGATGATCGTAACCGATGGTTGGAAACACTGAGTGATACGGCTAGGTGTCGTAAACTTTGGTGTTTGTGTATCTTCTCAATTTCTCTGTATCATTAGTCCACTAAACTTTTCAATTTTCTCTTCGATCCTACTTTCAACCTTCCTGTTTCCCTCTTATTGTTCACCGAAATGGGCAGCTAAAAGACAGCAACCAAAAGCGTCGCACGGAAATGCAGGCTCAATGGTTGTTTAAACTGAAACTGATGCTTGTGTATATATGCATCTGCCCATCTGTCTAGGTCATCAGCGATGGCTTCGTGAAGAGGCCTTAGCCGGTATTGTCGCCGTCGAAATGGTAGACCTCCCAGTTTCCGAATCCCAAGCTCGAATGGAAGAAGAATTCGGTCATGCAAACAGTAAGTTATCTTCTGTGTACGAATTTTCATTTTTCCTAGCACTGGCCACTCGACTTTGAACATTTAACCGTTGTAGGCTAAACCCGAGTTTTTGTCTTTTCGTAATTGATATCAGAAAGGGATAAAAATTACGTCTACTGTCCTATTCATGGGTCGTTCGATCCAGTTGCGTATCGAAGAATTCTCTCCCACTTCGTGCCCAAGTTTTACGACGGGTAAAGTTGATTGTAAGTGCTCCTGATGATAGGCTTTCAATATCCGGAGTTTTATTAGTCACGTCAAGTTGAGAAAATGCTTTTTACATCACAGAATTTGAATATCCAGCTACTGCGTAATCATATTTGCACGAGTTTATGAATAACGATGACTAGTTGTAAGTGGATCGGAGAGGTCCAGGCGTCAGTTCGGATGTCATTTATTGTTAGCTATGGGACCAAGTGAGTTACAATCGAATTACAGTGTCCCCTTCTGTGAGAGTAGTCGGTTTTGTAGTGCAACCGAGCAAAGGAGGTGGCAAGATGTTTGTCAAGACCTCGGGTGAAGTAATCAGTGTAGTCGGTTTGGATTCTTCAATGAAATTTCTAACGTGCATTCGAGTGCTTCGATATAATAAATACCAAGTTGGTCGAATAAGTCTGATTTTCGAATAGGGGGTGGGTGGGGTCGTCGGACCTGTTCGATGTCCATTCATTC